TTCAATGGACTTTATTGATAAGACTATGCTCAGGATAATTTTCTATTTAAATAGTACATCCTCTGGCAAATACCTAATAAGCGAGACTGGGGATAGCATGGGATGCATGTTCCCAGCATTGCACAGGTTTCATTTTTATTCTTAATTGCATATCATGTCATTGAAATGTATATTTGATTTTTTGGCCTGAAAGAGAAACCAAAGGTCCATGAATGGTGTGCATTTCTTTCTCAAAGTGTTTAAAGTGAATAAAACATCCTTTGTCTTTTACACCTTGACAAAATGAGGATATGTGTTTTAGGGGTAATATTTAAAGATTGTAATATGTAAATACTAAGACAGGACTTTAATAACATTGGTATCAAATATTTTTAACTTCAAAAATCACAAAACAGTGACATTGTTTGGAAAAATATTAGGGGCTATATAGAAAAGAAAAACACAAGAATGCTAGGAAGATCCCCACAGATATTGCCTCTTCAAATGTCCTTGTACCATCCTTAAAGGTGTTCCTGTGGGCATGAAAATCTCTAGGGTTACTGACTGGCTGCAGTCAGGTGGTGTGAAGTCCAGTGACTTAACCACTATGCCTTGGAACTGGCTCTCTGGGCTGCAGGGATGGCAGGGCAGAAATCCTGACCTCCTGAGCCATCTTGGGAAGGATGGGGGTGCACAGAGGGGCTCTGATGCTCCCCGCCGCTTTGTGTCAAGTACATTTTGCACTTTGATGAACCCAGCGCTCAGACAGACCACCAGCCTACAAAATGGAATCAAGAATGGTTTCCTCTATTGGTGAAAAACAACTAGCAAAATGAGTAGAGGTGACCTGTCTTTTTCAAAATGAACAGTGACATTATCACGTGGTAAAACTGGGGAGATCTGAATGATGCCTCTAGTTTAGTTAATAAGACTATACTAATTTTAATGTCTTCGTTTTGACAAATGTGCCATAGTAATGTAAGACATTAACATAAGGAGAAGGTAGCTGAAGGGTACATGGGGGCTTTCTGTACTTCCTTTCTGGAAATCTAAAATTATTTTAAAATGTAGAGTTAAAGAAGTAAAGTGCTGAAAATATCTCATTTACAAGGAGAGCTAAAGGAGTTAGACTGAGAGATTTGATGCCTCACAGAGCATGTCTGTTTGCCCAGCTCGATATAGTGTCAAACCTAAAAATATTCTGTGAAGAAGGGCCTTGAAAAATGCATTTCAGACACTGAGCATGCACAGTTCATCGTGCGACCTGCAGATCAGTGGGATGGCCTATTGTCATCTGTTTGCACCTGGAGTGGTGGAGGCACAGCCTGGTTCTATCTCTTTTATGTCCTAATAATGCTGCCTTTCCGACCACCCATTGAATCAAGTCCCTACTGCATTTCACACTTGGATTAACTCAATCATGCAAATTATGTCAAGCCTAAAAGAAATCAGGCTGTGGGCAAATAAGAAATGCTAATAAAAATTGAAAATACGGCTCACAGCCGCAATGCTCCTTTAATGACGCTGTGGCCCACCTTCCTGAGATTCACAGACTGTGGCTGAGAGAGACAGGGAAAGGCCCACAGATTTGGTTTATAACAAAACTGAAAACCACAGGGCTAATTAGGCTCCCAAATCTTGATTCAACTCTTTCAGTGCCAATCCAATAAGATTGGCAGGGTAACATTCCCCATACTGAGCATTCTTTGAAATACTTTTGTTTGACTTTTACCAAGTAGAACTTTCTAGCAGATTCTTCGTAGGTTTCCTAAAATTCCTTCCCACATAAGCACCATGAGACTTTGGCCCCAGCTCTCTTCTCTGCTAGTCCTACTTGGAGCACATCTCGTAGACAATTATACACGTATGTCCAGGTCCTCAGGGCCTTCTCAGGCCCAGTTAAGACAAAATCTCTTCAATCAGGGCCTTCCTGAAGGCCTAGGGGTTAAGTCTCAGCACTATCAAATTGCCAGCATGATTTCAATCCCGGCCAGGGAGCTGACCCATATGGCACAGCAGACTCTCCTGTCTTGTCCACTGCTCCCCTCAACAGTGTATTTTAGTGGATCCACCAGTTCTGTTCCCTATTCTGTCTCTGGCAAATCCTCCCAACTCCCACCTCTGGCTCACACCCCAGTGCTTATACACATAAATAAATAAATCTTAAAAAATAAACCACCACAGGCCCTCCCTACTGGCGCAGCGGGTTAAAGCACAGCACTAAGAAACTTAAGCCACTTCCGCATGAGTTCGATCCCCGCCTGCCCCGGAGGAGATCCACATGGCGTCGCAGACCTCTCCTGACCTGCCCACTGCTCCCCTCAGCAGTGTACTTCATTGATCTACCTGTTCTGCTCCTTGCTCTGTCTCTGGTGAAGCCTCTCACCGCCCCTGAGCCTCTGGCCTATACCCCAGTTCTGTATGTACGGATAAAAAAATCTTAAAAATAAATAAATAAGTAAATAAACCACCATAGCAAAACCCACACACACAAAATCTCTTCCTTCAGAAATCTTTCCCAGCAGCTTCCAAGGGAAGGGCTCTCTAACTGGCTTGTCACAGACTGCATGCAGAGTACTCACATGGACTTGAGTGTTCTTTCTGGATAGAATATAGGTCCTTGATCAGGCAAGAAAAATAATGATAATAATGAACAGCCACATACCAGAGACATTTTGTGGGGGTGGAGTGGGGAATGGGATCAAAAACAGTGGGGGGAGGGAAACGCACTAGACTATGGTGATGGCACATGGGTGATTTGGTGATGGGAAGCCCACAGGGATTACAAGATGAGATGAAAAAATGCACAAAATGATGTAAAAATAAACTATTATATTATTAAAAAAAAAAAAAAAAAGAATGTAGGTCCTTGATGGAGAAGCTACACTATCTCAGTTTCTCCTGACAGATCTGGCATCCTGGCTTATCCTCACTCTGGTGGCTGCTCCATACCCATCATTAGAAGGATTTACTTGGAGTTTAGTGATAATGAAGAAAGGACCACATGGCAGAGGATATTACAGTTGTAATTTCTTTCTCAGGCTTGTTCCACACTCACACAATTTGGTTTTAATTTCCCATTGGCAGAAGACATTAGACAAAGAAAGCACCCACCATGTAAGTTTCTAAACAAAAACCAAATTTAAAAAGAACCAAGAATACACAAGGAGGTGCTGGCCCTTCTGGAAACCCTCCAGGGTGAGATTCCAGCTAATCCTTACCTTTTAGGGCTGCTCCCAAATGTGTAGCAGGTGCTAAGACTTCATTCCTGACTCGCTCCCGAATTCTCACTTTACTCGGCTCTGGTCTCCCTTCAGGGGCTTTTACCTCCTTTGCTTTAAAGCTATTGATTTAAGATTCCCTACCCAGAAAACTTCCTGTATCCACAAACATGGATTTGATTTAGGCTTATTGAATACAGAAACTACACTTGCAGCTTCTCTGTATCATTCCCAGCACCTAGCACAGTGAAGGGGAGCAAAATTTGCAACCCCAAAATATGTCTCTTTGAACTGGTCATTTTTAAGAATACAGTGGGTCATAAGGAAAGCTCTGAAAATTGAATAGAAGTTGCCCTTTTGTAAGAGACATTTACGTTTTAAGGAAATCTGCATTTGTCAGGGTCTCTCCCTCTCTGACCCAGGAAGCAGAAGATGGCCAAATCGCTGCAAACTCCAATAGCATTCACAATTATTAGTTGAATTGTCTCCTCAACCAGCCAATAAGTCACCTCAGCAGGACATTCCTCCAGCTTACCCTGTCTTCACCTCACCTCACATCTCAACGTACAGCAAATGACGCTGCCCCTACTCCGAGGATGAGGAGTTCCTATTGATTATTTCAGAACAGCTTTTCTGAGGGCTTCTTAGAGGCCAGGTGTTGTGTTTTAAGTGATTCCTAAACCTTAGCTCATTTAATCCTTATGAAAACCTCCCTATAGATGCTGAATTACTGTTCTTGTATCCCCTTTATATACAAGGAACCTGAGGCTGTGGAGGATTCAGAAAGGTGACTTCAGAACCCAAACCTCCAAATGAGCAGGAAAAACAGTGTTTCTGCTGGTCTGGCTGTCTTTCTCCTCAGGGACGACGTAGCAGGCATAGGTCAGAGGTTCTGAGACATTCTTTTTCTTACCTGTGGTCACTGTTCCCAGCAGAAGGACTGAAACATCACTGGTCCTTTCTTCTGGGCTGGTGTCACCTGACCAAATTGACCAGGTCTTAGCTCCTTCTGTCCGGAGGAGGCTGCCTGGAGGTGATATAATACAAGGACTACAGGTACCTTTAAGGGGTCTGCAGAGTCCTTCACTGATAGGTGTTTACAAGCTGTGCTCTCCATAGACTTGATTTCACATTTATCTTCACCTTTCTGCTTCTCCTGAAGAAAGATCCATGGCAAATATTTGTAGTTAAATTATTCACCATGATCATTTGAATCTTAAACCAACTCATATTTAATGTCCACCCAAATAGGTGGGCTAACAACAACCCATGCTCACTCCCTCCAGGTGATTGGCATCTCCTGTTCCACCCACAATTAGAGAAAATACCAAAACTCAGCAGTGATATTGCTTCTGGAGGCTTGTTGGAACTCCAAACACATACCCCTGACAGATACAACAGGGATTAATGAGCCGTGACCAGAAGTTTGATTTTTCTGTCAAGTGCTCCCATCCGTTTTTAATAAACAGTAGAACAACATAAACTCTATCGCCAGCTTTCCACAGCTTAAACCAAGCCAGTTGCTCTTGCACCATGAGTGCTGAGCTGAGTTATGACTCGAAACGACCAACAAATGCTTTTACGAGCCCCATCGGTCGGCTACACTGGCGACTGGCTTCGCTTCCCGGCTTCCATGTCTTTGCCTCTGTTCACTGTGGCCTCCTTGGTGTTTTGCCAGGAGAAAACGACAAGTGTAATATCACATTTACAACTAAATGGCTTCAATTTATTGTCATTGGTGTAAAAGTGCCAAAATACCCACTGTTTTTCCTTTAAGCCACGCTGTGTGTTCTTTTGCAGAAGGCAGTCTCCTGCGAGGCCTAGTTGTTGAGCCAAGGTACAGAGAACGCACAGTAGCAGATGGGAAGAACCAGGTAGACTGCAGGGAGACGCCTGTGCCATGGCTCTCTTCGTCTGGTCTGATGAAGCTGTATTTTGCTTCCTTGCAATAATCTGTCCTTCTTCTAACTACTATCAGAACTTGCTTTGTCCACATTTGCTGAAAAACTGCAGGCTCAAAAAAGGTTCCCAGGTTGTAAAAATGATTAGGAGTAAGAATGTGTTTCCTTCTTTTTTTCTTTTTGGTTTGCAAAAACCAGCCAGGGTTAGTGGGGGGACATTTGGTTAGTGGGGGGACATTTGCTTCTTCATTCCCTGATGCAGTTGCTAAGACTGACTGCCTTAAACCAAACTGACCACAGGATGTCACCAGCGTTCCATAAAAATTTCCCTGTAAGGGCATTTACCTGGTAAAGTAAAACTTGTTTCTTAAGGAAGAAAGGTCAGAGCACACATACATGTGGTTGCACCTACCATTGCAAATTCTGGCTCTGGAGAGGCAGTCTCGGCTTCACTGTAGAGAATCAAAGCTGCTCCGAACTGAGGTTGTCCTTGAAGAAGATAAGCCAGCTACAAGTAAAGCCACTAAACTTAACAGCCCAGAGCTGCTATTTAATTGCCCCTGAAGAGAAGTCACCCGGAGGTGAAGTTAATAACCAATACCAGATCTTATTTTTTTCACTTTCATTTTCTGTGGGAGCTTCATGTTCAAATAATGTGGTAATCAATATCTGTGCTGCTCAGATACCTTCCTCAACATTTTTAGCACACCCCAAAATGAGACTCTAAAAATATGAAAGGGACACAAATAGATATCTAAACTTATTGGGCGAAGACATTTTACAATAGAAATTAGGAAATTATGAGCCCCATCCTCTCTGGCATTATGGCCGGGTGACACAGCGGTGATTTGGAAAGGCAGTTATGAATAAGATGTTTAAAGGACTGTTCCCAGGGGTCCATCAGTCACTGAAAATTATGGAGGCAAAGTGTAAGCATGCATGTGCAAAATGCATTCTCTTCATTCTGTCTCGTCACTCATTGTCAGGTCACAGAGTTCTCTGTGGAGAACATCTATGATTTGGGGTGGTGGGTCAAGTCAGCTCAAGGTCTCAGTGCTTTGTTGCCCTCCCTCCTGGCCTGGACGAGCCCAGTCGAGTAAATTCCAGTTGGTTTATGCTAGTAAAGCTTCAGGGGTTGAATTAACAAGTACATTACCTTTGTCAATTCTGGCATTATTGTCCTTAACTTTACTTGACTGAAATCTGTCAACTGACTGGGAGATGCTTTCCTTCCCCAGGGAGGCAGCTAGAGAGTCCACCTCCTACATTCGAAACAGTACAGGAAGAGTTTGGATGGAGCCTCTTTCCCCTTTTTTGAGTTTCTATAGCTGTATAAAATCCTGAACTTCTGTTATTTTTAAAAATGAAAGCAAGCAATGCTTGTATTGACATCGAGGCTGTAACATACTGAATTGTGTCTCCCCCACAACCCAATTCACATGTTGAATGTCTGGCCTCTCATACTTCAAATGTACTGGGGGATAGAACCTTTAAAGAGGTGATTACATTAAAAGGATGTCATATGAATGGATCCTAATCCAATACAACCAGGGTCCTAAGAAGAGATTTGGACACAGACAAACACACAGAGGAGATCACATGAAGCAACCGAAAAAACGTAGCCTGAAAAGTAACCAACCTTGTCAGCACCTTGAACTTGTACTTCTAGATATTGTGGGGAAATAAATTTCTGGTGCTGAAGACATCTTCCTGGTGACACTCTGTTATGATAGCCCATTTTTCAGGTGAGAAAACTGAGGTGAAGAGTCTGTCCTGTCAGGGTCAAACTGACAAAATGTAGCATTTTGCAAACCACAGGGACGGAGGGGCACTCAAAGGCTGACTGGCAGAAAAGAGATTGTGACATTCTTCATGGTCTCTTCTCTTTGATTCATGAGTTTCTGACAACATATTTTAACCTGTGAGTGAATTTGGGAAAGAATGCCCTTCTCCTAGGACATAAATTTGTTACCCAGAGTCTAGTTTATGTTCATTTTTTTTTTTTTTAAGATTTATTT